AGGACCTTGCACTTGGCCTTGTTGAACCTCATGAGGTTCACACAGGCCCACCTCTCCAGCCTGTCCAGGTCTCTCTGGATGACATCCCGTCCTTCTGGTGTGTCAGCCGCACCACTCAGCTTGGTGTCATCCGAAAACTTGCTGAGGGTGCGCTCGATCTCACTGTCTAAGTCATTGATGAAAACATTAAACATCAGTGGTTCCAGTACGGACCCCTGAGGGACACCACTCGTCACCAGTCTCCATCTGGACATTGAGCCATTGACCACTACCCTCTGGACATGACCATCCAGCCAGTTCCTTATCCACCTAACAGTCCACCCATCAAACCCATAGCTGTCCAATTTAGAGAGAAGGATGTTGTGGGGGACCGTGTCAAAGGCTTTGCAGAAGTCCAGATAGATGACGTCTGTTGGTTTTCCCTTGTCCACTGTTGCTGTCACACCATCATAGAAAGTCACTTCATAGGCATGAATTTTAAGAAATATTTTTCTTTCTGGAAGACAAAAGGTATCTCCAGGTTTCAACTACTGTCACCCAGATATGGTATAAAAAGTGCAGATGCAATTCATGCTGTTGTCAGTTTGAAAGCCTATGGCCTCTCAGTATGCATGGCTGCCAAGCCAGTAATGATATTCTGTTCCCCACTTTACTCACCTAAACTTTCATCTGTCCTGGAAAAAGCAAATTGTTCAGGAGTCCAGCTGCCAGAGATATGAAGAGGGGCTCAGAATTTTCCTGCGTCCACTGCACAGCTTTCCAGCTCTCATACAGGAGAATCTTTCTCATATCCTGCTACAAACTAGATCCCAAATGATTTTCCTCCTTTGGACAAACACATTTCTCTTAACATTAATGAGACTTATGTGAGCATATGAGGACAGAAGATCTCAGTGAGTATTCCTTACCCATCATGATGACCCAAGGATTGATTTAAGAGTGTATAATAATATTCATTTCTGGAATTTAATATGAAGTGCTCTGTGGCAGCAAGAGTATTAGTTTTCTCTTTTTCAAAAGAAGGAGAGAATGTTGAAAGATCATTGTGAGGGAAAATAATACGATATAGTGATATAACTAAAGGTGATGAAGAGTTTGTCACAGTTATCAGTGAAAAAGTTGCCTTAAAAGTAAGACTTGTGTTACAAGTGTTGATGCTGAAAGGAGAGCTGGGCTTGAAAGTTTGTAGATACTTATAATTCATTAATTCCTTAACGACATTTTCCAGACCATTTGACATATTTATACTACTGTCTATTTTTGCCAATTGTGTGGCCTTAGCTGTTTACATCCCATTCCCAGAAGATGATTCTAATTCAACTAATCATAATTTGGTAAGTACTCTTGAGTTTTTATTTTATATTTGTTTGCTATGCTTTTAAGTTGATGGTCATGACTAGTTGCTAGTATTTGAGACTGTATTAAGTATAGATAATTTTAGTAAAATAAAATTGGTATATAGTGATACTTTAAAAGAAAATGTATATGGAATTGCTTTGGGTTTTTTTCAGTTTTAATATGTGCTCCCTTATGTGTTTAAAGTAAGATTTTTCAGCAGTCATATTCTTTGGAGGGGAATGTACATTAATATTAATCCTGCATGTATATGTATATTTGTGTGGTATAAAAACTTCAATTTTAGTTTCTATCACTCATATCCATTAAATGTATTTATCAGCTGTTATTGTGTTTCTGACCCTTGTTTCAGTCCTCACTAAGTTGTGCTGCCTTTCCTAGTATACTTGTCTAGTCAGCTTTCAATTTTTAATGGTGTTATTTAGCTGTATTTTACTAGATATTTTAGTTTTTAATGAGAGGATGGTGGGAAATTTTAGATTAATACATTTTAAAGTGATAGGAACATCAATGTGAACTTTAAAAGCAGTCACTGCTGATATAAGTGATCTTTCAAAAAGTAGTGTGTAAAGATGTACGTCTTTGGAAATAGTATACTAGCATTGTGCTTGAAAATATAATGAAAACTAATTTTGTTTTAATTCTGTATTTTAGTAAGACTTACAAAGGCTATCATACTCAAGGGTAATACTGAATTACCTTGCAATAATTTAATTGTTTATACTAAACACCATCTTGAAATAGTGGAGTTCAGTGGTCCTGTGCACTCAAAATCTGCATGTGACTTCTTTTTGGGGGGAGGGGAGGTTTGTTCACAAAATGAAGAATTGGATACCAGTAAGTAGGTAATTTTGGATTATTTTACATGGAAAATTTAGGTTGATATGAGGTCTTCTATTTATGAACAGTTTGTGTAATTTGTGGTGTGTAAGCTTGCTTAATTTCCTAAAAATAATTATTCTGTGCATATGACCCATTTTATACATTTTTTGTTTATCAAGATTAAGTAAATATGGACAATAAAAACTTTCTGGTGAAAGGCAGAATAATTCAGGTCAATGTAAAGAACGATTTATGCAACTGTATATCTAGTCAACCAACAGTCTTTATCTCTCCTTTCTTTTTTTTTTCCCCCCTGAGAAATTCAGGGTACAAATCTCCATAGCTGTCAATCCACCAGGAGATCCACTAATAACTAATTTTGTAAAGCAGTTACTTGTGTCAGAGGCTAATCATTTTGAAATAAATGTTTTTGGCATTACTTTTGTTAGGTTAGTGACTGGTATTTCTGACCTAATTCTACAATGTGCTAATATTTAGAAAGAAATGGACATTTTCATCCCTTATGGCTTTTCTTTGTTTATCTAATGTAGCCAGGTTAGTCTAAGCAAAAATAAATTACTTTTTTTTTCAGTAAGAGATCCTTGTCCATTTTAAGTAGAAAGGGTCTTGAACACCCCCAATTATATGTATACAGAATTTACTTGGCCATTTAAGTTCTCTCAAATTTTCATTTAAATTTGCATCCTGTTTATACCGATGTTGAGTAATTCCAGTAAGTTTGTTCAAAGAATGGAATTTATCCTGACAATGTACTTTCAGGTGCTGGGAACAATTTAAGCCCAATAAGGAAACACACAGGCACATCCTGTGTACTTGATCTAATTAAATAGTTCTGGAATGAGCAGCATTGGCTTTTCTTATGACTAAGGTTGTACATAATCAAATACACTAACCAGTGATCTGAGTTCACGTATCTCCCTCTGGTAGGCTGACATTTTTCCTAGTGTAGACCTGCTTCCTTTATTGAACTCTTAGGCTGGATGCAAGTGTACTGTGAGGGAATGTCATAGAAGAGCTGAGTTAGAAATCTTCAGGCTTGCTTGGGAACCTGCTTGAGCATGTATTTCCTGATGCTTGAAGTATTTTGTATAGATATTTATCTGAGAGGGCTGTAAATTGTCTTACAGAGGAAGTAGAGACTATTCTGTTGACTAATGTTCAGATCTTTTGCGATACTGTTCTAAAAACTAGAACAAATCTTAAAATTAAGTATTAAATCTTAATAATTCGTTTGGTAGGATTTTAGCCCCGTGTATTTGGATATGTTTGTCTTCCATGAGCCCTACACTGCCAGTTTGATCTTGCTGGGAGACTGCACCCCACTCTGGCTTTAATTCAAATTCAGAAGTTGAGGAGATTAAGATAATCTTCTCTCTCCTTCCAGCCTGGGTGTTTGGTCCTATCAACCCCACAGCCTCTTCTCCCTGCTTTCCTCTCTGTGGATGCAGGCATCCATTGACACTGTACAGATGCAGCACTTGCATCATTTAGTGCCTTGAAGGGGAGAGACCAGAGTGAGGAACAGTAACATGGTCTGCCTCCAGTGCCTTCACCTCCTCATTATGTAAACCGCAGCTTTAAATTTTATTTTGCATGTGGATATTATACCTAAGGCTTAGGGAGTAAATCAATGTTGCTTCATTGAGTTGAATAGATTAATTGCTTTCCATCAGCTACCTGAACTGGCTTGTATTTTTTTAAATTCATAAACAGAAAAATTAAATATTTATGCATGTGAGGGTGTTTTTGTGAATACAAAATATACATAATTGGTAGTCAGCCATGGAAAGAGGAAGCATTGGCAGAAGAGGGCAAAAATCAGTGGAATACTGGTAGAGTGGGAAGTAGAAACAGAAACTTTTCCCATTTCCATTGCTTGGGCTAGGGAGAAGATTGCACATGCGAGAAGTTGAGCAATTGAAATGTTCATTCTTTATGACTTCAGGAAGTCTGCAATGGCAACCTCAATCCAAGGGTGTACATGCAGAACAGGTATTAGTTTCCCTTTGTGATGTTAAAAGACAGCTTCTGTATGATGGAATTTCTAAGACTTGTAAGAGAAACCTGAGGTACACTTCCCATGTCTGTCTTTACCTGTGACTGAGCCAGTGAAACACTGACCATATGTCAACCATGTAACCACTGGTTAAGCTGTGAGTGAGCCCTGCTCTTGCTTTCTCATTAATGTTTCTGCATGTGGTGTCTAATAAACAAAAAAGTCAGTTATATGTTGCAGTAGTAATGAAAAAATAAGTTTAGCACAAATTAACCAAAAATATAACAGACATTTTAAGAAACAGGTAAATGTATCTTAAGAGAAACAGGAAATCAAATGTATGCGTATTTATGTTTTTTTTTTTTAAAATAGGATGTATCTTTGGTATCTGTTATTCTTGAATCTGAGTCAATTTTTAATCTTAAATATCTTAAGACAGATGTCTGTGAGAAGGTTTCACACCCTTGTTTTTGGAACAGTAGACTCTTCGAAAACCGACAGCACAAGCTAAGTGTAAGGATGGGACCATTGTGTGTTCTGTGTTGGTCATTCATCTTTGCTGACGTGCAAGTTGTGATTATGGAAGTTTTTGTGATAGAGCCAGCAACATGTTATGAGATACGAGATACTTTTAAGGAAGCAAGAAAGGGTTTCTTCATTATATCAGAGACTGAATTAAGCAGATGGTAATCACCGATGTTGTAGGATAGGAATCTCTTTCATTATTAGCTTTTGTCTGTCTTCATCTTCTGACTAGACAAGCTTAGATTTCTGTTTTGCCTTTTTGCTCTTCTCTGAGAGGGTGCACTACAGCTATCTCCTTGCACAGTGGATTCATGGTCATCCTTATTCTCTCAGGAATGATGTGTTAGTACTGGGTGATACAAAACAATACATTTCAAACAAAGTAGAAGTGCAGAGTTAAATTCAGACTGGGCTGTGCTTGGCTACTTGGCAGTGTTACAGTCCTGTGTTCTGTGGGAAAGTATCTAATCCTTTGTCTAAAAACAGTTTGACATGTGTCTTTTGGTGTATGCTGGGAGAGGCAGGAGGATGGGATCTTTTCTTCTGTACTTTGAATGGTGCAGCCCTTCCATGTATTTCTGTACTGCATAGAGTGCAACACAGACTAATGAACTTTAAAAACAGTTATTGAACTTGATCCTGAGTTCTACTTAATAATTAGTTCCTAATCCATTAACATTCTTTCACAAGTGAGCTCCTTTCTTCTGCAAGTAGGTGGTTGAAAATATTATTGAACTAAAGAAGTTTTTTTCTCTTACAGCAGAACAGGGCTAGTGTTGGGATGAAATCCTCATGAACTCATAAAAACGTCATTCATATTTTAACATAGTTTCTTTCATCTGCTTTTGGAAGTTTCAGGTGATCTGAACTTCCCATGCTTGATTCAGCTCTTTTGGCAGTGTTTCTTGTCTGAGCTTGATAAGAAGCAGTTTCTGGCAGGATGGGTTTCCTGTATATATGTATCTTCTGTTTCTGTCTTTTCCATTTTTCCTGCATCTGTGTTATTTCCCTTCATGTCTTTTCTTCTTTGTTAACTTCCCACTCATTTCTTTCTTTCTTGTTATCGTTTGTCTCTGCCCTCTGGCTTCCCTCTGTTTACTGTTCTGTTTGTCCTCTCCTGCAGCATGCTTTGCTCTATCTTACTTTCCCACTTAATTTTTTTCTTTTTTTGTATCATCCTGCTGTACCATGTTCTGTTCTCCTGTGCTTTGCCTCCTACTGACTTTCCCATTGATCTGAGTAGCACTGGGCTTCTTCATGATGTGCAGGCAGACTGGCACAGTACAAGTCTGGATTTTGGCTGCGATTAAGACATTTTTGGTTGTTCTTTTTCTTTCCCTTTTTTTACATAAGTAAATGGGAACAGTAAGAAGGAATCCATACCAAGTCTATGCCAACGAGACCCCTGAAGTTTGAGTTGAGTCTGCTTTGGGTGTACTGCATCTCTAGTGACTAGACCCTGAGGGTTTTCACTGGTGACACTGTTCTACTTGAGATTGACAGCCTGTGCATTTTGGGAGATGTACTTGCATAAATTACAGCAAATTGGCAAGTACAAAGTCACATGAATAAAGGCCTTGACCCTAATGCATAAAGGGCTGGAACCTAATGATA